AGCGTTTGCTGGGAGCAGGCCCATCGCAAAATGGTTAATATATGTGGAGAGGCCTTTGGAAGGCATTGCTCCAGCCTGAAACTCTCCCACCTACTCCCACCAGCCTTGGGAACGGTCGGTGCCAGCCCTGGATCGGTACAACGTTGACTTGCTTCGCACCCGCTCCTCTGCACGCACGTTTAACCTTGCCGAAGAGCGGCGTGGAGCAGGCTGCAGGCACCACTCACGGCACAACAGAACCCAACAGGAGTGGCTCAGGTGCTCTCCCCCCGGGGACAGCTGCACCACAGTGTAATTCACGGTGTGGAATACGAGTATTTCCATGCCAGACTGGAGTGGGGTGACCTGGAGCTACTCACCGATGATGACAAGCAGGAGAATGACTGCCACCAGCGCTATGATCGCCTTCACCTGCAAGGGGGGCCCAGAGGCGTGTTACACAGGGCGCTACGTGCAGCTGCGCTGACCTGAAAGGAGGCCTTTGCCTTCCAGCCGCTTCTCAGCTAGAAAGCAGGGCCTCTCCGTGCCCTCCCAAGGGAGGACAGGAAACCACCCCTCCACAAACCCACCCCTGCGCCTCTGCCAGTTCTTGCTCACCTTGCAGCCTCGCCACCACATCTGTCTCCGCAGCTGCTTGGCTCTGTTGCTAAAAGCCGTTGCGTTGTCTGATAAGCTTTCTGTTGAAGAAAAGAGGTGATTCAGCAGCGCGCACCCACCGTTCCACTCACTCCACTGAGTTTTAAGCAATAAACTCGGCATTAGGGGAAAAGACCCGACCACAGCGTGATTCACCAAAGCCACAGCGGGTGCCGATGTGATGCCCTGCGGTAGAGCACACGCAGACCTGCCGCGTCCCACTGAGCCCCCTTTGTGCTGGCTGCCCTCTGAGGACAGGAATTCGCTCTGCGAGCCAGCAAGCAAGCGGACAGCTGAAATGCTCGGGGCCTCTGGGAGACAGGCCAAGCTACCTTAGCTTGAAGAACCACCTAGATCCCAGCACCCAAACGAACGCGTCTGTGCACAGCAGCAGAAGGCGAAGGTGGAAAGACGAAAACGTCAGCAGAGTCAGATCTGCAGCCCAAGGCTGGGAAACACCACGCTCCAGAAGGATAAAATACAAGCCCAGGCCTTGTCATTAGATGCTTTCTGAACTGAAACCGCGTCACTCGGCCCAGCAACGGGGAAGAGGTGTGAGGAAAAGGCCAGTAGAGCTGCATTCAGCATCGCACCTGATTTATCCTGCAGGTCATCCAGCCGCTCGCCTCTTTCTATCACCTTGGTGATGTTCTCCTGCATAACGTCAATGACTTCGTCCACCTGGTTCTGAACACTAGGGCAGAGCAAAGGCAGCGTGAGGAGCAGAAGCAAGCACCACCGCCTCCCTCAGAGCTGCCCAGGCTGGCAGGATCCAAGGGCTCAGTGACAAAATCAAAGGGGTACACAGTGGAGGGAGGTCAACGGGATGCCAAAAAAGATAGAGGCACAGCCGGGGTGGGTCTCTGGCAATCCCAGGAAGGGCGAAGGAACACAGGGGGCTCAAAGAAAGCAGTGGGAAGTCAGCAGAAGCAGGGCACGTTCCGTAACACTGTTAACACATAAACGTAGCAAGAAAAAGCACCGACTGCTGTTGGTGGGCACTTCTGCTGCAGAAGAGCTCACATCAAAGGGGAAAAAATATCTTATCTTAGATCTTATCCCTTATCTTTCCAGTTCCCATAGAACCTCACACCACGCCTTTGCTAAAGAACTCGGGGTGAAATCAAAACAAGGTGCACTCCCCCCTCTGGGAACTGAATGAAACCCCCTCTGCCAGGGGCAGCAAGAAGACAGCAAGGAATGGCTGACACGGGTTGTAAGAAGTGGGTTGAGTTCATCTTCTCCTAGGTTACGCAACTCCGCGTAGTCGCTTCGGTGCACAGTAGCCTCAGTCGTACCCGCAGGGTTATTATTCACTCCATAAAAAACCCACATTGGTAAGAAAGAAAAATTCTCCTGGTGGAAAATTACTGCTACATTCTGGTTCGTATTTTGGAGCTAACATGCTTTAATTTTCCTGGAGATAGAAATAAGAAATTTCTTGAGGCCCTAGGGAGACAATAGACTGTTGGAGACATACCGTTCCCAGAAAGAAAATGGCAACAGGAACGTCTTGGAGGCAACGCTCCACACAGGGCAACAAAACAGAAACAGCTCCAGGCCACTCACTCCGCAGAGGTTTGACAGCTTAGGTTGCACTGATTACATAAACATTTAAAAACTTTAAACATACCAAAATGCATCCAGCCTTTCCCAAACATGCAGCAGGAACACCCTGCTTCAGCAGCTCTCCACGCTACCAGAAACACTGATAAACAGCGCGCCGCTGGCGTCCCCGAAGGGAAGAAGGGTTGCCACCACCTCATCTTCCCCGCCTGCTTAGCGCCCACGCTCCCCTGCTCCCCAGATTATCCAGCTGCAACATCTTCCTTTTGGGATCCATGCACAAGCCTCCCCTCCCCACTGTCATCTCACAGATGCAGATGTTCAGAGATGCCAAATCAGAGTATTTACAGCAGCACCAGACCCTGCTCCACCACGGAGAGAGCCACCACCCAGCACCGCAGCTCAGAGCACATTCCCCACTGCGGCCCAGGAAGCCGGAGGAGCCAAGGGACACCCAGAGAAACTTGTCCAAGGCCAGTCAACAGGGCACTGCGGAATGAGAAACAGGGGCCCATCCTAGCCACCGTGCCTCTAATTAATTCATTAGAGATTAATTAGGTTCACATTGACCCATTTCTCCTGTCTCCCTACCAGCTACATGCCTCTCGCCGAGCAGACGACTGCACTGAGACACACACGAGGAGCAGCTGCAACAAGCAAGAGTGGTCGCAGTGGGAAAGCACATGCCTTGCTCACATTCACTCATCCTCTCCGAAACAGGCAAGGAAAGTCATTAAAAGGCTTTTTGTCTCCCCAGAACGCTGCAGAAAGAGCTCTAGATCTTTGAACATGAAGGGGCTTCCCACCTTAGCATTTCAGGTCGGGGTCTGCAGCACCACTGCACTGCGGCTTGCAGAGCTGGAGCAGCCAGGCAACCCCTCTGAAGGCAATTTCTGACTCAACAGCCCTCGTATGGTACATGCTGGACCCCAGCAGCGCCCGTAAACGCTTGCTTTATTTAGGGTACCACAAGAATAGAACCTGCCTTCCCTGTGCCACATCACAGGGTCCGTGGGAGCAGCATCTCTCTGCACCCACCTACGCTTTCCACGTGGCTGCCTGCTAGGAGTTTCTTATCCGGAAGGGAAAGGCATAGATAACCCCCAAATGCCTCTCAGCAGGAGCTTGCCCCGTGCCCATGAGCCCGTGCTGATCCACCATTCCTTTGTCAAGGCAAGTGGCAGAGCTGCCACTGCTGGGGAAGCGCAGAAGGTGGCACCGAGGATTCAGGTGTCGCCTGGGAAACACGTGGCATTACCCGGTGGAGCCAGGAAGGACACGTGCAGCCCCACGGCCCTTCCCTGGGGCAGCGGGCAAGGAGGCGGGGAGGAGGCACGCTCTGCACGGGGGTTTCCTCACCGCATGACGATGGACAAGTCCCAGCTCTGAGCCACCAGCAACGCTGCTATAGCTTGGGGTGAGAGAGAAAAAGCAGGAACATCTGCTATCCCAGATGAGCCAACTCGGCAAACACTCCAAGGCCTTAAACATCAGTCTCACAGGCAGAAGACTACATTTGCAGTATGTAAATGTTTCTAAAATAATTTACTGGCTTCAAAATAAAAGAGATTTCCTCCCACAACAGGACTGTAACTGAGTTATCTTGGTACAACTAACAGGCAGGAACACGCAAGGTTACAATGCGTCTAGGAACGTGCAGTGCGATGCCACCTGTATCCCCTCCAGTATCCCAGCTACTGCGAAGAAAGTTAACTCTGTCCTGACTAAAACCAGCACAAGGTCAGAGCCTGGAGAGATGCTGCTGCAGCCCCGGGGCACCCTGCAGCGTTCGAGGCAGAGTAGGCAGGTACGTAACTTCAATCTGCTCTGCTACGAACCAGCATTTGGGAGAGACCTATGGAGCACAGATTCCGACTACCCAAACTCCGGCTCAGCACCCCACCGCCTTTCCCTTGAGCTGCTGGCGAAACGCTGCACGCCTCTGCTGCCTGCCTGCAGCCTGGGCATCCTGTTAGCTGTGTCCCCCCCACGCCCCCCAAGAGAACAACACACCTGAGGGATGGAGAACGGGGTACAGAGAAATCAAGGCTTAAACTCTCACAGATGCCAAGGTGTTTAACTCCCATGGAACACAGACACAGTTGAGCACACCTTTTGGTATCTGATGTAAAAAGAGAACCCTGAAAAAAACAGGAAGGAGGAGACCGAGCCAGGGAATGAAACTTTGATCTCCACACAGCGCCTTATCCAGACCTTAAGCCAGTCCTTGCTCCTGCGCTCTCCCCCCCATCACCGCTGCAAGAGACGCCTCTCCAGGAAGGGGCTGAAAGATGCCCAGCCTATGCATTAGCCCTGCAGTTCCGGAGCAAATTTCAACGATCCCCCGCTAGCTTGGCATGCGTGAGGTTGGAAACTCAACTTGCATCGAGAAGAAAATATTTTCTTGTTTTATTTGGCAGGAGAGAATGAATCCTCTGATTTCCTGTTTGGGAGCGATTGGCTTTTGACACACACACTTCATGTGCATCACTCCTGCCAGATTTCCAAGAGAAACGACGTAGAATAAATAACTTGCCAGGAAAGGGAGTAAGACAAAAGCATAAAATATGTCTCCCACGACCCTTCTTTCTAATTGCTGCATATACAATGATTTTACCAAGGAGAGCAAGTGCTCACCGTCAAAGCAACAAGAGACCAAACGGCACTTCGCTTGGTTTAGACTCCTCTTTCTCCTGCTTTTCTGGGTCCAGAGCAGGAAAAATAAGCCCTTCCATTTGGCCGCACTGGGTTAGCTCCCAAAAAACTCCCCAGGCTGGTCACAGTGTTGGGCTGACAACAGTACTGCATTCTTCCGACGCCGTAAACAGGCCATGCACGCACCATGGGATGTGCCTCTCAAGGCTGCTTCTTGTCTCCAAGCTGGCTGTTTACAGCCTGCATGACACACTTCTATTTTCCACCCCAGCGATATTAATAGAACTGCGTGTTTTGGTGCAAATTACACCCAAACGCCCCTCGGTGTGGCAGTAACCCAGGGAAGTGGGAATGGGACAGAGAGCCAAGCTGGGCGGACGGTGCAAGGGCAGGAGGCCAGCAGAGCGCTCCCCGAGGCACGTCTCTCTGCAAGGCGGCTGCTCGGCAGACAGCTCCGCACTACTCGAGAACGGGGTATCGGTGCCGAACCCTGCCACGAACGCATCAGTCGCTGCTTCATCACAACAGTGAGGAAGACAGCAGCCTACGCCGCCCTGGAGCCCTTCAGTCCTCGAAAGGGTTACACCCAAGAACAATGCCTGGTCTTGGTCACCTTCGGAGGAAAGCCCGGAATAGGGATGGGGTCGATCGCACATCCAGCCACCTCCGATGAGCAGCCAGGCCCTGGGAAGCTGCTGCTGTCCCTTCTTGCCTTCAAACCTCTCCCTAAACCCTCCCTCTCCTTGGGATGTAACTTGGAGCTTGCAGCCAGAGCCACTGGGGCCGAGCCACCCCCGGCAGTGCAGTGGGGGAATCGGGGACCAAGACCTGGCTCCCAGGGAATCACAGCAGCGTGCTGAGCCTCATCGCCAGCACAAGCAGAAGCCAAAATCCAGCAGCGTGGTTGCCTGAAAGCTGAAATATCCGTGGTAAAGGAGCTTGAGCAGCGCAGAAAAATGGGGGATTTTGGTGGTGCTTTTGAAAAGCTGAGCTGTGATGAGAGGCTCCTGTCCTAAATCAAAGAAACCCAGGTGGAAGATGAACGTCCCACCTTCCCCCAAAAAGGCACTAAGGGCTCTCACGCGAGACGGACGTTCAGGACTTCCCACAAAGCCTGGAAGCCAAGGCAGGGAAAGGAGATCAGCTCTCCCTCACCTGTTCTTTGTAACTCTGGGGAAAAGGATCAAAGCCCGTTACACGCTACCGTCCAGCTCCAGCCCACCCAGGGATGCGGAGGGACCCCACGTGGCCACTTCATAACCAGGGGAGTGTCCACCCCAACCCAGCAGCTCTTGGGACAACAGAGCCCGAACTTCCAGACCTACCACGACAGCACACAGTGCGGAGGGGACTGTGACGCCTCAGCGAGGTTTGCAATGTTCCCCACCGTCTCTTCCTGCGGCCGAGCCAGCCTCGAGGGTCTCTACTGCCAAACTCTCCACCCTGACCCGAGCCCCTTCACTGCCAAGGACAACTAGGCAAAATTTCCAGTCTTGCCCCTCACATTCGACATGTTCCGCACCTTTGTTCCCATGATCCCATCACTTTTTCCTCTACCCAATCTTCCAACCAGTTTCCTTCTACGCCTGTCTTCACACCTCGTTCCTCGTACAGCGACAGTCTCTCTAGCTTTGTCCAGCTACACCTCAGCTCTCCAAATGCACAAATTCCTCCCTAAAATGTCTTTTCCTTACAGCGTTTCAGCAGTAACCCAACGCTCCTTTTCCTCCCCTGCTGAAACAAGGACGGACTGCATCATGAGACCAGGCATCACTCCATCCAGCACAGGGGTTGCCCTGATCAGAAACTTAATAATAAGGTCCACGACAAGAACTGACAATTGCACCCTGTAAATGCTTATTAAACAAAAGCATCAGCAGTGACGACAGCAGAAAATAGATGCTGTTTTATAACAAATGCTCTAGATAGGAGATAGCCCTAGCCACTCACTATCCCAAGGGACATATCCCGTACCAGGCCCACTGGACAGTGTCTGGCCACGGGCAGACATTGTGTTGGGCGTTAGTCACATCACACCTATGAACCCAACAGTTCCTGGGTGAATTCTTCTTTTGTTTTTCTTCTCCTTCACAGGTGTTGCACCATCCTCCACCTCCTGGAAACTCCCACAACCTCTCTATCTAAGCCTCCACTCCCTCCTGCCTGGCCAAGACAGTGGGGAGAAAAGAGCTCCCATTTTCCTCTCCCAGGCAGGGAAGGCAGAATCATGGAATGGTTTGGGTTGGAAGGGACCTTAAAGCCCATCCAGTCCCACCCCCTGCCATGGGCAGGGACACCTTCCACTAGACCAGGTTGCTCCAAGCCTCATCCAGCCTGGCCTTGGACACTTCCAGGGATGGGGCATCCACAGCTTCTCTGGGCAACCTGTCCCAGTGCCTCCCCACCCTCTCCAGGAAGGATTTAGGAAGATACTCTGTAATTCCTTTCCAGCGGAGGATGAAGGGGTGGATGTCACACCCTCCCCACCTTTTTATGGGGGCAAGACCCCACTCATAAACCCAAATCTCATCCTTTTCATTCACTCCAGGCCAGCATGGCACTGCCCTAGGAAGGAAGCTTTATCCACACTGGTTTCCTGTAGGGACCACTGTGCCCCTCCCAACAGGGCCCTCACTCCCCAGAGGGAGCAGAATCCCCCTGCAAACTTATGGACCCTGTCTCTGGTGTAACTCAAGTGCACTTCGCCCCTGGAGCTCACGCACAAGCAGGCGCTGCCTAATGCTGACGCTGGCAGTGAGTCATCCCAGAGCTGCACCGGCTTCTTCCCGGCATGAAAAATATCCTTAAGGAAGAGCAACACTCGGGGCTGCACACAAGGCCGCCCGTTCTGATTAACGCCCGGTCATCACTCCCCACACAGTTCTGGTTCCGCGGAGGCCAGCAAAGGGAACACCACAATGCAAACCAGGGATTTGGGAATATCACCTATTGTATCCCTCATACGAAAGGACGGGGCAAACTGGAGCCCAGACCAGGCATCATGCAGGAAATGACTCGATGGGAGAAGGATCCAGAGTGCTTACTCCTTCGTTCTTGCCCTATTACAGCCAACAATCCTCCTCCAGCTGTAATGGTTTCCTGTTTTCCAGCTGCTTTGTCCCGACTGAGTCACTGCTCATCTCCAGGTCACCCGTATCAGGCTTTATCTGGAGAAGATAAAACTCCACGAAGCTCCTGTGATACAATCCTATCCCTTCGCCTCTGTCAACACACTATTTCTTGAATCAAATCCGAGATTTCCGTTCCCCGTGGCCACGTAGGGTAGGAAAAGTCAATTAGAAGAAGGAGCATGCGAGCCACGTTCGTATTCAGAGCTACGCAGAAATAGCGCGGTACGAGAGCGGCCGAAGCTCACGGTGCCAGGATAAATTACTGTCTGCGGGACAGAACAACTTACTGCCTGATCTTGTCGTTCCTGGGTCCAAATCTTGGTCCGGAAGGCCCTCTCCTGCGGGCAGAAAAAGAGAGCAGAGGGGATGGGAGATACAGCAGAAACGTGTACTGAAACCAAAGCCTCAGAGACAGAACCAACGCCTCGTGGATGAGGGATTGTTCCCGTGCCTCCCATCAGCCCCTCCCACGCCTTACGATATGCAGGACACCCCACTCTAACACAGCCTTAATTCACACTCCACGCCAAGGCTCCGGGAGATCGTCTCAAAGGAATCAAAGGTTTTGATTCCCGAGCAACCCCACTGCGTGGCAGGGGGCAGCTTTTGGTATTCGACGCCTCCGGTCTCGGGGCCGTAGGCAGTTAGAACATCACGTTCCCGACAGCGCCCGTGCAGAAACTCACAAGAAAAAGTCTTCCTCTTCATCCGAATCTTCCTCCAACAGGTTCCTCTGCAAACACAGGAAAAAAAACAACCCCAAACCACCTTGTCAATAAGCAACCGCCACCTCACACACGCGCTTCCAGACCTCAGGATACCGCCGGCATCCTCCGACCGCAGGTTACGTGCCAGCCCTCCTTTGGGGAGCATTCACGGTGTCTGGAATCACGCTGTTCCTCTCCGCCTGCGACCAGGGGCTGAGCGGGGTGACCGTGCCGCGGTCATCACCTCAGCGGCGTTCACTAGTTCCGTACACGCACCGACGCGCCGCTCTGACCCGGGACAACTCGCGCCCTCTACCACTGAGCTGAACCGGATTTGCCTGAATGGCCAGTTGCCTGTGCAGCTCCGGATCCCGGTTCCAAGGGTGGGCACAACCCCCCAGGACATGGAAGCGGCCAGTGCATCTGCCCGTTGAGCCCGGCCTGGGGAAGCGGCCGGCGGAGCCCCTGTGCAGGGCGCTGTGGAGGGAAAGCCCTCTTCGCCCCAAGGCCCATCCCCTGCGCTCAGAGGCAGCTGCTCAAGACACCTCAGCATCACCCTGGGGCGTCCCATCCACCTGGGAAGTCGGATCCGTTGTGGATTCGGGGGACGTGGTTCTTCCTGCCATCTGATGGCCGCAGGTGTGAAGGACGACTGGAAGGAAACCCGCTGGGCACGAACAGCACGTCCAAAGGGGTCGACCCTTCCAAACTCCCGACCTGGGCGAAGGCTACGGCCAGGCTGGAGAGCAGAGCGGTCGGGCAGCTCCTCTGCTTCACGCCAAAGGACTCCTCCTGGGCTCGGGTTTGCCGTTCCACCCCACCCCTTTAGAC